AAATTTCGATGCATTACCCATTTCAAGATTCGTTACTCTAAACGGTTTAAATTTAACTGAAAAAGAAATAAATTAAAAGTAATTTAAAAATATCACGACGAAAGTTAAATTTAATTTTAATAGTTTTTCTGTTTTTTATTAAATAGTTAGTCATGTTGAGTCTCTTAATTAGTTTTAAATATGGTGTTAAATTAAACCCTTTGTTAAACGAAAGTAATTTTAAAACTCGTGGAAAAGCATTTAAAATAAATAACTAAAGTGTCGATGTCGCCAAGTTTCGAACTTAATTTGTTTTAATTTTAGCACTTGTTTTGAGGATGATTTGTGAGTCACGAATTTGAATGGAGAACCAACCTGAAGTGAAGGATGAAAAGTATGACCCAAATAACTTTACAACAGTAAACTTTAGCCTAGTTAGTGGAAGTAATAATTAGAATATTTTGTGTTTATATAGCGAAAGCTTTCATCATTCTTTTATCAGTGAAGTTTTGATAATCTAAAGCTTAACAAGTTCCAGTAAAGCGAAAACTAAAAATGTTTTTTAAAACAATCATCTTGAGTATTGTCTTGGTCTCCTTGGCAGTTAGAGAAACTTCTGGCGGTGGATCATCAACGGGTTATTAATTTTAAAATTATTCTATAAAAGCTTTCAAAATATTTTCATCCCTTAAAAATGAATTTTAATTTCCAGCTCCTCCAAGTGATTCATCGCCGGTGTCAAGTTCGTGTGAATATATTGATATCGCCTACATAAGAGATAAAGTTGAGAAACTTTATGAAATTTTCGGAAATATTCAAACAAACATTGATGAAACTTCTGACATGATCTCTGGAAGTGTGACTAGCAGCGAAAATATTGGACAACTTGTTTATGATCATCTCGAAATCGTTCAACAGCTTTTCTTGGAATTCTTAAACAAATTGCAGGAATTGTATGATGAAGTTGAAGGTTGGACTCCTTGTAACCCTGACGAAGTTAGAGATGCTGTCCCTGTTTTCAATATCAGAATTATTTTCGTTGCTTTCATCATTGAAGTCCAAACTTGGGCCCAAGAAAATAGTCCTGATATGGCTCCTCAAATCACTGAAATAACAGCAAAATTGGGAAGTGAACTTAAGGATATTCCTGAAGCAGCTTAAAATGAAGTCATGAACTAAGAAAAAAAATTAGATTTGTTTCTTTTATAACAATTGGCAAAAGTAAAGTTTTGGAACTAAATTTGATAAACACTTTTCGAAATCAACAACTTCAACTGTCACTTTCAAGTCATGAAATGAAATTTTGAAATAACAACAAACTTTTTTATGCAGGAGTCAACGAATTTAAATTTAATTCGTTAAATTTTCATACTAAGCTTTTCCGCGAATCGTATAAAATATTCACATTTCGAATTCAATTCTATTTTCAATCAGGAACAATTTTCTATGAAATATTGGAGAACTCATTGACGGAAAACTTGACGACATTTAAAAATTTTCTTAGTTTTAGTACAGAAATCAAGTGAAATGTAAGCTTAAAACGAATCATTTAATGCTGACACAAAACATAATCCCAAATGTCAAAACTGAATGCTGTCATTTATAATCTTTATTAACATTGACAATATACACAGAGTTGGGCGATCCATTTTCCGATACGGATC